AGTAAAGCTTCTTCTATGCCGTCCCCATCAAGCACGCCCAGGACAGGTATAGTACAGGTTTAGATACACAGTAAAGTTTCCTCTGCGCTGTCCCCATCAAACACTACCAGGATTAGGGACAGCAAGGGGTTAGATACAGAGTAAAGCTCCATCTACTCTGTCCCCCCCATCAAGCACTACTAGGACAGGGATAGCACGGGGTCAGATACAGTGTAAAGCTTCCTCTACACTGTCCCCCATCAAACACTGCCAGGCCAGGGACAGCATAGGGTTAGATACAGAGTAAAGCTTCCTATACTCTTCTAAACTGACAGCAAAGTTTTTTCCACACTTTTAAACAGAAGGTAAATATCCCTTGACACTGTCCCCACCAAACACAACCCGAACAGGGATAGCACAGCACGAGATACAGAGTCAAGCTTCCTCTGCTCTTTTAAACTGAAAGTAAAGCTCTTTCAACATTGTCACCAACAAACACTCCCAGGACAGGGACAGCACAGGGTTTGACACAAAGTTAAGCTCCTTCTACACTGTGCCCCCCCCACCTTACACTCCAAGGTCAGATTCAAAACAGGGTTAGGTGCAGAGTGAAGCTACCTCTATATTGTCAGGTACAGGAGGGGTTAATGCACTGGAAAGGTTTATTTTCCTACAGCTACACAATGTGAGGACAACATCAGAGGCCTCTGCGTCGGTATCTGCGTGACATTTTCATTAGCCACCTCAACTATTATCACACTGTCTCTGAGCAAGGAGACATTTTAATCTAAACTGTAAGGAATAATGGACATCTCTGACCTGATGAGTTTTTTTACTGGGAGTTTAGGCAGGGCAATCTGAAACATGTAACCAAAAAAAAAATCAAAGAACTGTAGATGATGGAAACCAGAAACAAAAACAGAAATTGTTGGGAAAACTCAGCAGGACCTCAGAAGGGTCACTGGACACGAAATGCTAACGCTGCTTTCTCTCTACAGGCGATGCCAGACCTGCTGAATTTCTCCAGTAGTTTCTGTTTTTGTACCTTAAACGTGCGTTGCACTGCAGCCAAGGTAGAGAGAAACAGATAGAGAGAGAGAGATAGATAGAGAAAATAAGAAGGGGTGGGAGAAAGAAAGAGAGAGAGAGATAGGAGGAGAGATAGAGAGAGAGAAAGGAAGAGAAGTTGGGAAAGGGAGAAAGTAAGAGAGAAAGGATGAAAGAGACAGAGAAACTGAGAGATAGAGAGAGAGAGAAGGGGAGGGAGAAAAAGAGAGAAAAGGTAAGAGAGTAAGAGAGAGGTAGAGAGAGGAGGAGAAGGGGGAGAGAGAGAAGGTAAGAGAGAGACAGAAGTGGGGGAGGTAGAAAGAAAGAGAGAGGAAAAGTGTGAGAGAGAAAGAAAGAAAGAGGGAAAGAGGGAGAGGGAGCTAACAGGCACCTGCCTACTATCCATCTCAGATGGATTTGGTCCCAGATTCCAAACGTGACAAAAAGTATTTAACTCCTTACATAATCCAATTGCTAGTGTCTGATTTGATTGAATCCCAACCGCTCTCTTAATAACAGAAAGTGAAAGTCAGAGATTTTGGTCTATAATTTGACCAGACTCCCACATTCAGCGGGGCGTGAATATACCAGGTCTCATTTCATTCAGGCGTGGGCAAGGATCAGATTCTGTGTAATCCATCAGGTCAATATTTATTCAGCAGGCTGAGGGTTACTCCTTGTGATTTTGGGCAGAGTTATGACAGAGTAAGGACCACCGTTGTAATTGTCCCAGTGTCAGTCCTCGGACCATGAATCTCAAGGTGAACCATTTAACCAGAACAAACCATTTACAATCACGTGTGGAAATCATTAACAGCAAGCCTTTACAGTGAACAGCAAGTCTTTACAGCGTCTTAGTTTGAAATGACACTGAGGCTGGATTGCTTCCAGTTAAAAGATTAAATCCACAGTGTCAACACCCTGGTTAGGTATTTCAGTGTTGACCTTTAGTTCTTAGTTAAGACACCTTCGTCTAGCCTTTTTTTGCTGTGACAGCCTGCACTAAGGACATGAACACTGACATTTGATAAAAGTCGAGGACTTTTTGAAAGATCTTTGACTTTCCCAGCTGGTAGCCTTGCTTACCAGCAGGCTGAAGGAGTATTTGTACTTCTGAAAGACATCGATAAACTCCTCCTGGGTTGGGGGTCGAGCTCTCAATGTCAGGAGACCCTCTGAAATTAAGAGCAGAAGTTGGTTTCAGATGTAAATTGACATACGCACATCGCAGACATAAAATAAACATGAAATGTAGAAAGATAACACAGTGTGGAGCTGGAGGAACACAGCAGGCCAGGCAGCATCGAAGGAGCAGGAAAGCTGACGTTTCAGGTCAGGACCCTTCTTCAGAAAG